AAGATGAGACTGGATGTGGCACTTAGTGCCATGGTCTAGCAACCACGGCATTGTTGGATCAAGGTTTGGACTTGATGATCTGGGAGGTCTTTTCCGACCTGGCTGATTCTATGATTCTATGATTAGGTTAAGTCTTGGGATGTACTGTGGGTTGTGGCAAGGTTTAAGTAGTGTGGTGCCTTTATAGAAGGACATGAGGGACTGCCCTGGGTCAGACAGAGACAGATCCAGCCAGCTCCAGTGAACCCACTACAGGAAACAGCTGAGCCCATGAACTACCTTGGTGGCACCTCCAGGGGACCATATTTAAGAAAGGTTAAAAAATGTTGCACATCAGTGTCAGAATTGAGGGAAAAAGCATGAGAAATAAAACTGTGAACACCAAGGGAAGAGAGAGAAGAAGAAGGAGGAGATCATCCAGGCACTGAAGCATCTGTGGAGGAGACAAGGCTGGAGCAGTTATTTCTCTGCAGACCGTGGAAGAGCCACACTGAAGCAGATATCTGTGCTGCAGCCTGTGAAGGACCCCACATTGGAAAGGTGGAACTCTCATAAAGGAACCATGGAGGACCCCCAGTGGAGCAGTCTTATCCTAAAGGATTGCAGCCCATGGGAAAGTTCTACAGTGAAATAGGAAAAAAAATATGAGGAGAAAGGAGTGACACAGATTAAGTGTTATGAACTGACCACAATTCTCATTCCCCATCCCACTGCACTGCTCGATGGGGAGGAGAAGGTGGAGAGGTCAGGAATAAAGGAGTGACACTAAGTCTGGGAAAAAGGAAGGGGTGGAGGGAAGGTGTTTTAATCTGTCTTTCTCACTATGTGAGCCTGTTTTATCTAGCAGCAAAATAAATTAATTTTCCCCAAATCACTTCTATCTTACCCACGACAGTAATTGCCAAGTGTTCTCCCAGTCTATATCTGAACACACAGATTTTTTCATCTTATTTTGTCCTCCTATCCTTTTGAGGAAGGGTTGTGAGAGAGCAGCTGGGTGGGCATGTGGCAGATGGCAAAGGTCATTCCACCACATAGATAGACTGAACTGGCATTATAGTTTTGAAGTAGTACAGGGCACCTAAAATATATACTCTCAAAACGGAGCCTACTCATCACAAGTACAATTCATTTATACCCTTATCCAATATGCTTTTAAGATATGACCAGTTGTTTCATATATTTAAAAATAAATTACATGTGGAATTACAACCTAAAGTAGATTTTTTTCTAATTCAGCTAAATACTGAAATGCAAAAGCGGTTTATCATATTGTCACCCAGATATCAGGCTCAGATTTATGTAGTTTTTCATGCAAGGTCTTAGAAGGTTTATCCTAAAAGTTAGTTATCAACTAACTTAGAAGATGGTTATTAACCTAGATATTTCATTTTCTTTTATTATCTGTATATCCCATATCCTATCATTTTTATAGACACACAATAGCAGCACAACAGGCAACTCATTGCCTGTTCAGCTTTGAACCTATATTCTGTTATTCTGTGCACTTGGTAAATATTGTCAAAAACTTTCTAAGTCATACTGTGTTTGTGCACAACTAGGAGTATAAAAAAAGAAACCACAGAAATCTTATGTGCAGAATGTTATATTCTTGTACATGAAATGTTCTTTGTAAATCTAATATGCTAATGTGCAACAGATAAGGAGCATATTTTGGAATGGATAAATTCAGATGTAAAATGCATTTTTAAATAAATTCAGTGTCCTGCATCAGGTGGAAATGTGCTTTCATAGTTAAGTGGTTATATATATATTTTTCCCCCTATTTGTGTGAGTGTAAATTTGTACACTACAAGAACTAGAAGTGTACCCTTCTTGATTTACAAGTGGTTTTAGTATTATTTCAACCTTATTTTTAGTCAAATTTATGTGTACATACTGAACATACAAAATGCTGAGCACTCTCCTATTTGTCTTCATTCCAGTATTTAGGAACATATTATGCTTCTAGGTATAATACTTGTGGAGAGTTTTGGAAAAGAGCTCTACCAACACCTCCCACAAAAGACTGATTAAGTGGTTCAGGAAATTGCAGGTCTGAAAAAGTCTTCCTTGACTAAATGAATCGACCATAAGCATTTACCACTGTCAGAAAATTAGGTTACAGATGATATAAGCCAGTTTTCTGTGGAATTCCATTCAGGAATAAGTTAATTTTACATTTGCTGCTTTCTTTAAGTTGTAGTGACAATGATAAAATGTCCATGATCAACAGTGGCTTCAGCTTTTGAATCTCTGGGATGATTTGAAATTACTTTTTGTTTCTTTTCAAGTTGTTCCAATGCATGCCTGGAGCTCTCATTAGAGTGATCTTCATGCAAGGCCTGCCTGCTTCCCAGCTATCATCCACCTCCTGCTTTCCATTTTTGTCTATAGTAAAGCTGCATCCGGCAAACCCTTGGAAATACATGCTGTGGTTACTAATTACTTGGGCTGATTTACTTAGTTATGTGTTCCAGCACAATTAAGTCCTTTCTTTCCCTATTGTATCTGCCTCATTATTAGTTATAATGGTGACATTTATACTGTAAATGGGATGGAAGCATGAAAGGGAAACTGTGTGTAAGGATAGGACCGTTGTGCAAGGGATGAATAAGTACTGAACTGTTAAGGCTAATTGTAATATAAGAATATGGCTTCAAAGGTTTTGTTTGTATTGTCTTCAAAATATTTTTGAGGAAGGGTTTCAAGGTTATAGACCCACCCACAACTGTGTTAAAATATGTGTGCAGATGAGCACAGGGATAATAAGCAGCACATAATATGAGGTATATTTCTATGAAATTGCATGTATTTAGAATGTCTAAAAAAGAATAAAGGATTATTTCTCAAGGGAATGACATTTAAGAAACAGACAATAACAAAAACAAAATAATGAAAATGCATTTCAGGGACTATACTTTGGCAAGACAGTTGGCTATCCTAAAATAACAACTTATAGAGTAAAATTCCAGCCACACTTCTATTTTCTGAAAATTCAAGTTTATAAATTACTTGTAAATATGTGTGGGTAGATATTTTTTTAACTTATGTTTCTCTCTCCATATCAATTACCAAAACAGAAAAATGATACTTAGATATTCAGTTGAAGGAATCTGCCCTCCACTCTCTCCCTTCCCCACCCCCTCTCCACACACTCCCAAAAAAAGTAGTTTTAGTTTAGTCCTAAGACTTAATATAGTAGTTAGGGAGTGTCCAGATATTAAAATACTGTATCTTTCTGATACACAGATGTGTTTTAACGGAAGAAAAAGCAGCTTGATTCCTAGCTTACCCCTTTGTCAGATGCCAAATCTTGCAACCAAATTTTTCGTTGTATTTTCTCCACACTTTGCTTTTTCTTAGCTCTCCTATCACCTCCACATTAGTTGACTTCACAGAACTTGATTTTAAATACTAGCAGCCATGCAGAAGAATTATTCCAGAGAACCACCTTTCCTGTTTGTTTCTTTGTAGCATCTTATGACTTCTAGAACTAGTTCCACGAACAGTTATCAAGAATTTAGCTACATATTTCAGGAGAGGACAGGAGTAGAAGGATGGCTAAAGCACTCCATAAAATTATTGTTTGTCGTGCACTCAGAGATTTCCTGTGTCATATCAAATGTCTGTCATCTCACAGTGGTTAAGATGGAGATACCATTATTAAGAAAGTGAGGTTGCACATTAATAGTTTTTAGATAGCATCTCTTAACAGGAGATTTGATCAGGTTTGTATTTAGTTCTGGAATTTCAGAATTATATTTTAGGGATAGATTTGCATGCTCCTACATAGTATGTTGCATTGCCATAATACTTAATGTGAGAAGAAAGGACTTCTTGGGTTTGACAGTGGAAGGAGTCGTGGAGGAAGAAAGACTCTCAATACGAAATGAAGATGGAAAAAGAAACACAAACCAGTGCAAATACTGTTGCAGTGAATAGTATCATTTGCCAGTAAAAAAATAAATATCTTTGAGATGTCTTTCAAATAAAATTTTTCATATTAGAAAATATTCTAATATTCTTCTTGTTGAGCTGTTTGCTGTTGGAATATACTTCATTGACTCAACAGAAGGAGAAAAAGCAAACATTTCATCATAAGGCACCATCTGGTAAACACTTTAGGAGGAGAGGTAATATCAAACCTTAGTTTTGAAGCTCTGCCTGTAGTCAAATCAAGTTAAAAGCAAAGGCTAAAACAAACATAAACAACATTTGTAGACCATCTACTGTTTAAAATTGAAGAGGTTTCCTGCCATTAAAAGACACAAATTTTTACTTTGAAAAAAAACTGCAGGATTACTGTATTCACCGTAGATGACTGTTCTTCTTTCAAATGAAGGTCTCCAATTCCAAACCACCAGAGGTTTTTGATGGAAGAAGCTCACTATTAATCTGCAGACTATGGTTGATTCAAGAGCGAATAGGATAAACTAGTGCGACCTGACACTGCAGAGAATGTAGTAGAAATGTTACTTGGCTTATAATCCTGAAATAGTCCTGTCTGTTCCACTCTTCATCTAAATTTTAGATGAAATAGTCTCTCACTCAGTGTCTCTAGAAATATGAACAAGGGTTAGAATACCTTTTGAAGAGGTCACAAATTACAAAAGCAGAACAAACAAGATTTTTGGAAAGGATAGAAGAAACCACTATGGAATATGCCTGCTGGTAAATGGCTCATTTTCACAATGCCACATAGTTGCATATTTTCCTTAACTGGAGTTATTCTTCCTTGAGTTTTCTTTGGTTTTGTTTCTATATGAGAACTTCCTTCTTGAACTACTTGTTCCACTGTTCATTTTGAATCTTGTTCTTCTTGCAGCCATGACAGATGTTTTCCTGACATTTTAGCTCTTATTTAATTCACTATAAAATTTTGGGATTAATTTCTCTCAGATGACCCTCTAATGCTCTGGCAATGCCTAACTCAATCTGCCATTCTATATATCTTTCCAGAATTTACTGAAATGGTCTCAATTTTTTTTTTATTGTAGGTTTCATATATACTGGAGAAGTTGTACATCGAATGCTAACAGCTACCCAATATATTGCACCCTTAATGGCAAATTTTGACCCCAGTGTATCAAGAAATTCAACAGTCAGATACTTTGATAATGGTATGTAGCAGTTCTTCATAAATGAATGTGTCTGTATCCCTTGGCTCTTCTTATTTTCTTAACTATTTTTGATAGAAACACTGAAGATTTTTTAAAATTATTTTTGTTCTTTTTTTTTAACTCCCAAGCTGTATAAAGGATGTAACTAGACATACATAAACAGTTCTTAATTTAGAAAGCAGTTAAAGAGTCATGAATGCTTTTTCCTTATCAAACAGATATCTTCTGGAGGTTGAAGTGCATCAACTCAAACTAGCAATGCATTTTATCAGCTTTAAAAGGAAAAAATCTGTCTTGTATAAAAGTGTAAGTTCCTGCTATTTCAAAATATATATATATAGAGAGAGAGAGAGAGAGTAAATACCATTTACCCACTACCTAAAATGAAAATAGCATTTGTGGAATGCAACAGCAAGAATACACGGAAGCAGGGCAGGCATAAGGTTAATAAACCTGTCAATGACTAAGTGCATGGAGTCCCAGGATTGGAATCCAGGACATTCATCTACACCATGAATTCTCAACAGTTCCTTGTAAAAAAGATTGAAAGAGTAAAAGGCTAACTGCAGTGTTATACTTGAAACTCTGTGAGATATTTCAAAGGCCTTGAATGTGTGGATATTTTTCTCTTGAATTCAGTTATAATCGATATTTCAGAAACGTAATCCATGTGGTTAAAAGGCATCTGGTGCCTTACTTCAGGCCTTTAGTGATCAACTACAGTGGCAGTGCCTGTCTATTCTGAATTTAAAACTTAGACAGTTTAGTATCATGACTTAATATCATCAGATCCATGATTTTTAAATCTTCCTGGATACGCATGGATTAATCTGTATGTTTATTTATAGTGAATTCAAGCATAAATTTACAGCATGTTCAAAACATATTGTATTTCCAGCCAGGTGTGTTACTTTTTGTTTTTTAGAACAGTGATCAATATGTATTGTATAACTTTTGTACCTAGTCATAACCTTTTCACAATCTAGTCATTGCAGCATGTTTGTTAAAAACCCAATAAAATACTTACATGAGAAAATCCTACACTTTACATGAAGAATTTCAAAGAGAAAAAATATAATTTTGATTTCATAAATAATTTAACATTATAGTCTGAGATTTTTCATCTTTTCTTAAAGAATCTGAGGATTCTGGGGAAGACATTGCTAATTCTCATTGTATTCCAGACTTCCAATCTTCATACGAGGTGAATCAAGCTGTAACACATGGCTTTCATGACAAGGTTAAACAGTTCTTTGAGATTTTGGATCCCACTTCACGTGTAAGGCATGATCTTTTGAACTCCATGTGCTTTAGGACAAAGAATTGGCTATCTTACCACATATAAAAAGGAACTGAGCAGATTGTATCTTCAGCACCTTATTTCTTACTTCCATGTTTTCTCCCCATGAATAAGTGTGCTGCTTTACAGCAGCATCTGTAGTAGGCAAGCACAAAGCATGGGGTCCATCAAGGTCTCGCTGACAGAGCTTACTGCAAGGAGTTTAGGCACACACAAATCTTCCTAAAAGCCCTGGGAATGAGATGACAGTTTTGGTGGCAGATGATTTTCATTTTTGGGTAGGGGTCTGAGATGCACATAGATCTGAAGTACTCAGAGACCAACCATAAGAAATTCTGGCTGGTTTTATTCCAATAATTTTATAATTAATAATTATATATTAAAATGTAAATATTATAATATTATTATATAATACATATATTTTTAAAAGTCAACCTACCTTTAAATGAAATTTAATACAATCATAAATAAATATTCAGAAAACAGTTAATGAGTGTGGTCACAAAGCAAAAAATGCACTGTGTGCACAATTAATGAGTATGTACTACATCTATGAAAGACATAAAAGACAATAATGTGCTGGACTTAGTGCAGTGTGTACCCAAACTTTCTATGCTCGTAGTTTCATGACTTCACCTGCCAAGATGTGTTCATGAGATTTACATCACAGAAGATTTGTGACAAAAGATGTTTCAAGGATATATCAAAAATATTTTGAGCATGATGGGTACATACTGAGCCATCATGAACACTCCAGGAAGAAAGGAAGTTAAAGTGTGAATCAAAGCACATGACTCCATTAATGCCGAAGAGAGAAGTTGTTGAGGAAACCGTATAAAGACAAAAATATTGGTTTTCATAAACAGAGTTTTGGTGATAAGTGTCTTTCAGTCAAGCTGCTTGAAAATAACCTTCAACATCTATAAAACATGCTCACAGGGTATGCAAGTTGCTTGAGGTACATTTTTGCTGTGGTAAGTGGATATTCAGCTAGTGAACTCCCATGAATATTAACAAGCCTCTTGCAACTAAATCTCTGCATACCAGACTCAATATTTACCCTATGCATGAATTCTTAGTGAGTTTGATTTAAACTGCATTTCTTTAATGTAAAGACCTAACATTTTTCAACTTGCAGAACCTCAGCAAGGACTTGCACCATGCAGAAAAAAGTTAAAGCTATTTAATTAATGCATAGTTAATGGAAGAATTCAAATTCCTCAAATAAGAACTTTTACTAAGCAGGTGATGCTATTAGCACTTCACATTTCAAAGTCATCTGGGTTTATGTATATGGTGCAAAAAAACCCCTGCAGGGAAGTGGTAATGGCAGCACACCTGAACTCTGAGTGCTGGATCCTACCTTTAGTGATTGTTGATTCCAGACACGTTACTTGACCACTCCTGCTTTAGCAGTAGTCGAGGTGCTTATGTGTGGCACTGTGGTGTCTACATGTAAGAGGATTTCAGTTGCAACTTGAGTTTTTAATATCTTTGGCATTTCAAGGTGTGGAGCTGAAAGTTGATAAAAAGAGGCTAGTCACTGTTCTTGTTTCAAGTAACTGAAGTTAAGTACTTTTTCTACAGTCAGTTAATGTATTTCTTACATTTTTTCTTCCCTTTGCCTCTCTACCCCCGCTCTGGGGTTCACAGGCACAGCACTAGTTGTCCAGTGGGACCATGTACATCTGCAGGATAATTACAACCTGGGCAGTTTCACTTTTCAGGCCACCCTTCTCAATGATGGGCGTATCATTTTCGGCTACAAAGAAGTAAGTCGAGTCTAAAAATTATCATTTAAGTGGACAAATTATACCTGCCAGGATTTTCCCTGTTGGGGAAGGGGGAAGGTATTTTTTTTCTGTGGGGGGAAGGTATTTGAAAGATCAGCTATAAGATCATTTCATTATATTGTTCGTAAGATCACTATTTTGCTGAAAATAATGTTTTATTGTAAAAATGTTGTTCATATGATGGACTTAAAAACCATCAACATGACTCAAATGTGTTACTCCTGGATTTCAACTGGACTTTTCTGGGTGGTTGTAAGTGTTGAGTGTTTAGTAAATTCTTGGGGTTTTAAGTAAATTCCTCTTGGGTTTTAAAAGGTAGGGTATAATTTGCTCAATTAATTCACCCAATTTTGATCTATTTGAAAATACTCTAAATCAATGGTTAGTATTAAAAGGTCACCTTTTTACTGCAGCTGTCATTTCTAGCAACTCACATATTTCAAAGTTCATATATTTCAAATGAGAAATAACTGGTTTGTATCACTAGATCTTTGAGGTTTTCCATCTGTTTGGTGATAAAACTGCTTAGATTGAGGCCATTTGGTTTGGCTTTATAGCACTAATATGTTGTATTGGATGGCTTCTTCTGCATTCTCTAGGTGTTTCAGAATTCCAGTTGTTGCTTTAGGTGATTTTCTTTTCTTTCTAGAGTTCTGGAGTCTGTAGCCTAGTTGAATTTTGGTACTTTTGCCAGGAAATGTTGGAGCAGATGATCGTTGAAGTCCCCTTTCAGCCTGGTATTCTATGATTCAATGCTTCTGTGATTCATGCAAATGAGAATCAGAAAGCAGACAAGCTCAAATCTCTAGGGTCAAAGAAGAATTTCTTTCTTTCTTTCTTTCTTTCTTTCTTTCTTTCTTTCTTTCTTTCTTTCTTTCTTTCTTTCTTTCTTTCTTTCTTTCTTTCTTTCTTTCTTTCTTTCCTTCTTTCTTTCTTTCTTTCTCTCTTTCTTTCTTTCTTTCTTTCTTTCTTTCTTTCTTTCTTTCTTTCTTTCTTTCTTTTCCTTCTTTCTTTCTCATTAGTTTGGTTTGGTTTGGTTTTTGGTTTGGTTTTGTTAGTTTAATCTCAGTTTGGCATGCAAACTGTGACTTTCTCTTCAAGATGTAAGTCTCTGTTATACTCCTTGTGGTAAAAGAAATGTAATCAGTGATATAACTCATTGTCCAGCCTTGGAGAAATCTGTTTTCTTTTCTCTCTGTGATGTATTGTAACCATGTACCTTTAATGTAGCAGAAATAATAACACTCCTATCCCTTTCACTAGAAAGTTAGAGGGGATCTGGGTTAGTCTACTAGCAGCAGTCATATATCTTCACCTCGCAGCCATATTTTTGCACCTTGCAAACAGAATGCTCAATCTTTTTTGTAGAAGCAAGAAACTTCTGGTATGCCCACATACCTGGCTATCCTTTTCTTATAAAAGACATGCTGATGCAAGGTCTGCTTAGATTCTTTTCCTGAATTTTAGGTACAGGCTAGAGTCTTCATCTATGAAAATGCAGTTTCTTTGCATTTTGAATCCAACTTCATGTAAACTTTACTCTACATAGTACTATAGAGCTTATGCTTGATCAAAGAATCGTGGACTAAAGCTTCATTTATCTCCTGTTATTGAAATCTTTTCAAAGAAAGGCAAAAACTTCTAAAGATTGCTGAAAATTTCCTACCTTCAAGACCCAGAGAGATGGGGAGGGACAGTACTTCCATTTGTAATTTTAAGATAATTTTGTCAAGAACTGTATATGCATTCAGACATTAAAATGGTGACATTTTCAGGAGTCTACTATTCTCTGCCCTCTCTGTTACTCTCCAACCCTGTGCAAAATGAATTTAATGTCAGTGGTACTAGTTACTGCTCTAAACTGAAAGTACCTTGCATTCATTTTGCATAAAGGTAATTGATGATGCAGAGTGTCAGGCAGTGGAAAACTTTATTCATTTAGGAAGAAGGAACAAATGGACCACCTCCTTTATAACAAGTGGTTCCCTAGAATCGCATGCAAGTGTGTCATTTAATCTGTGGATAAACAATTTCTGTGCTACAATGGCACAGGCTGCTTGCTCTCATTACGGTACTGGAAGTTTCCTCCAAAACCACAGTGCTTTTGTGGGGAGGAGCTATGAATGTCCTTTTTGTTAATTTTGAGACAGAAAACTGGAATTTACTAATCAAATAATATTCTTTTTTCCTACTGCTGAATTTTTTAACTCATCCCCTTGTCGTGAGTTATTCTTGTCCTGAATGGAATTATTAAACATCACTTTAGAGCTATTGCATATAGCTAAGGAAAGAGACTTTTTAAAATTATAATAGTAACACACTAATGATCTGTAAATCTTTTGACAAAAGATTTTTGTAAAATTTTAGAAAGTTAAATATAGTGTATACCATTAGAAATTGCTTGGGGAATAGATTAGGAGGCTGAGACTTCCAGAAGACTGCTTTCTTTATTTACAGCTTTTACTCCATTACAACGACCTCAGCTTTTCTCCTAAATGAGGAAAATGAAATAAAATTGCCAATCACTGATCAGACACAAGTTGTCTGAAAAGAACAAACAAGACACTTACAAATTTAAACTTGATTTTAGTCTTGATACATCTGGCTAGGAACTTATTTACTTTCCAGTGCAGAATCCATTGCTTTCTGAGGAAGTCCTTCCTTCTGGAACCATTTCTCTTGCTGGTGAGTCATGTTGTCATTAAGTCCAGTAGGATTACTTGTGTAAGTGCTCACTAGCACGACTAAAAGTTGCACAAGAAGATTTCTACTGTCTTTTTGGTGCCATTTTATTTTAGCATCACAGTCCATCAGAAATGACAATGATGTATGGCAAATCTGCAAGGTCTTCAAGGCATTGTCATTGAAATCTCCAAGCTGAAGCACCATGTAAGAAATGTAGCAGACAGGTTGCCAGTAACTTTATAAAGCATCCCATAGGGTCTCTACACTAGTGACACATTTATCTTGAAGAATCTACCTTTAAAATAACTGTTTATACATTTAAGGGAGGTACAAGTAGGGACTTTTATGTCTAAAGCACTTTGGGTAAATTTTACCTTCTATTTTTTATTTTTTCGAACCATTTGAGATTCCCTTTTTCACATCCTTGCTGCTCCCAAACAAGGTTTGCTACCTCATAAACCTGTTGACCACCAAGACAAGATCTCAGCTGAGGTTTGCTGAGTATGAAAGCTATTCTGCCCAATTTTCTGCATTCTGTTGTTTTCCCAGTAGGAGGCAACATGAAGTTCACAATTGTTATCCAAAATCTAGAACAGATTTTGAAAAAATAAACATTTAGAAAAGGAGCTGAATCATCAGGATAGAGAAATATGGAGACATCAGAATATCTTTCGGAAGTGTTAAATGTTAGGAGAAGGAGCTGTATAGTCAAGTTTTCAAAATGTGAAAACAATTTGAAATATAACAAGGTCCTATAGCAAGCAAAATATTTATTTATTTAGCAATTTACTTTGTTTACAGTGCACATACCTTCAATTTTAAATATCACTTTGCTTATGCTGACTGTTAGAATTCTGGCAAAGGGCCAATATGTCAGGAAACAGCTAACAAGAAAATTTTATTGATGCACCTCTACTACATATGAAATACATTACAGTGCAAACTAGCCAACAGAACACAGTAATAAAGAAAAATTTCTGTGAAGGCATATTTGTTAGGAATTAGTAGTGAATACTCATTTCTTATGTTCCAAATTTCACTCAAGTTCAATTCTCAAGAGTTTTGCTTCTAAGTGAACAAAATAACTGTTCTGTATAGTCTTTTCCCATTGATGCTTAGAGCTAATGTTCCTTAGTGTATCATTTTGTTTCTTTTTCTATCAATGATTAATACAGGAAAAAATAGGCAAAGGTACCACAGACCTTGTTAATCATTTAGGGTATTTTTCTTAATTTCAGTAGCCTGAAGGCTTTCTTTGTTCATTTAAATAATAATGACTCTCTGTTTATGTGGTCATCCGGAAACCATTATTAAAGTTGAAATGCTTGTTCAAATTCCCAATATAAGAAGTCTGAAAAAAATTCTAAAAGAAACTTGTAGTATAATTTCTTTCTCTTGTGAAAGGGAGACAGAATTGAATGAAACTGGTAAAGTGCTAGCACTTAAATAAAATTTATGCTCCTGCTATGTGTGGTGAAAATACACTGTTTTCAGAAACAAGACTACAAACTTTGTTATTGTTGCCTGAAAACTAACAGAAATTTTAAAAAAAAAATAAAATACAAAACAAAAAAAAAAAACCCAAACATCTTCCTGATGGATGTTCTGCTTATGTTATACGTGCCTGGCATTTCTTTGCCTCTTTTATTGTTATCAAAAATATGAACATGCAAACAGGATCTTTGATTTTTGAGGTAGTCATTTTATGCAATTTTAAACTCGTGAGTACGTTTCATGTAGTTTAGCCTGTAGAGTAATTAACAGCTATTCAGGAAACTGTCAGTGAAAACACTATATAGGCACTATTATTTTGTTCCTCATTATTATTTTGCAACATACTCTGTCTTTGGTCTTTTACTCAGTTTTGAAGTGAGGCAGTAATTGCACCCTGCTTACCATCTCCTTCAGAATAAGGTTAGAGGCCATGATTTTCTTCCTTTTTGAAGGATGAGATTCTGGCATGACCTCAAAGTTGAAAAGAATTACTGGTCCCAGTGATAGATAGAATTCAGAATGAATTCTAAATACCTTTCTCCCCATTGTCGAAGTATATAATTCAAAATGTGGATGTTAATGGCCTCAGTGCTAGTGTGCATTTATTCATAAACTAGTGACTTGTACAACACAAAAAATCATATTTTCTGTGGTAGAGCTAACATACACTTTGGAATTATTCTAGCTAAAAAGTATTCTCTGAAGGTAATGCCATAAAATCATTGCCACCCATTAGCAATCACTTGCACATTCTTAACTTACTGTTCAGCTATTTCACATGTTGGCCTGTTATGACATATCTTGCCATTCAGGTGAAGAATTCAGAACAGGAGCTATCTGCTTGCTACCAATGTTTTGCTCTAATTTTCAGCAAATTATTTTAATATTTACTACAAGTCTTCTGTCAAAAGGGCATGTTTCCTAATAGGCCGGTGTGTGGCAAAAGCCCATTTTATCTTGACATCTCATGTAAAGATTTCACCTGTAATATGGCACTCAATAAACTCATTACAAATTTCTTTTTCCCACCTTAAAAAATAGATATATGTTTTTGCAAATGCAGGTTTAATGACACTAATTTTTCAGGAGAATAAGAGTGTTCCTGAATCATGGTTTCCCTTCTAGTTTGACTGCATTTCTGTCTGTGTGACTGTTTGACACAGGCTGCCCTTCAGTTTGAAGTTGGCTAAACAAATTTGATTTTTTTTTTAAGCTTACACAAGCACTTGCTCCTAAACCCTGTTTCTAAAACATATATCTAAACTTCTTTTATTAGACTGGACACTACTATAACTTCCCTATTTGTTTTAGAAAATTATTCCACAAGTTCCTTACTCTCACTAGAATGCCCAGTAGAAGAGTGTGGACATCTTCAGGGATTTTGGAAAAATCTACTGAGTTATTTCTGCTAGGGATTTTTCTAATTTCTCCTGAACCAAGTTGAAATGAAACTAAATTTATTTTAAAAAATCCAAACCAAAACAAACTCACTTGTGGCATTAGTACTGCAAGAATCTATTACTCCTTCCTAGGAGGGGTGAAAAAAAAAAAAGAGGAAAAATTAGTTTGCTGTTTTCATAATTTTTGAGGGAAGTTGTTCAATAATTCACAAATTCATAACAAACATGTGAAAAGGCACTAGACTTAAAATAAAGGAGTCTTATTCAAGGAGATCTGAGTGCAACTTCCTCTGATTTACACTTACCCACACAAATTAGTATGATTCTTTTCATGCATCAGACACAATTTGTGCCTTGAGCTGCCAATTTTGCCAGTATATTTTGTCACACATACTCATAATGCTGATTCCAACTAAATTCTCTGTCCTTTCTTCATCTGTTGTTCCCTCCCTAACTTGGAAAAGAAACAGTCCTTGCATCTTTCTTAAACAGTGCTTTTCCTAACTTAATTTTCAATAATTTCTCTAGAGTATCCTTAAAATTCTTTAAGACAGTTTCTTTGACAGCTAATGTAAGCTTTTCTTAGTATTCTGCAACTATGAATAATTCCCTTATTTTGTTTATATTTACATTCTGGAGAAAATTTATAGACTTATTTCTGATCTTAGTGAGTCTTTTATTTTGAAGAATTTGAAAATATGATTTCCAGCCTTCTTCTGTCGTATTCTCCAATAACTGCATCAGAGCTAAGTTGATATAAGCCAAATTTAAATTGATGCATTACTAGTATTTCCAAACCACTTCTGTTTTTCATGTTGATTTAAGAATGTCTCATGACTTTTTTATACCACAGCAGATCATGGATGCAAGAACTCCTAAAAAAACAGTCGCTAAATTAAGTTAAAGAAATGAAAACTTATTACAATGTTAAATTCAGCAGAACCTACTTTTTGTGTTAGTATTCTTAAATTCAGCTTTTACTAAACAGTTATCAGTGTAATCAGGAAAAAACATAACTAACTGGTATTTTCCAAGGAGAACAACTGCTGATGTTTCATTCAAGTACCAGAAGTCATGACATTAATTGACATGTAGACAGAACTGAATCTTCATTCACTGGAAAAAAGTAACCAGACTTTTAGTTTGGCACTTTTCTCCTATGTGAAAAGTACTGGCCGACAGTATAATTTTGATAGTTTTACAGAGGTTAAGTCAGAGAAGGCTATCAGATTAGCTAAACTAACACCTTGGTTCTCATTTTCTTACACTTAATCCAATTCCATCTGTCTTCAGCTTAGTAATTTCTGGTTAAATGAAGACCAGCTTTGAAATATCCAACTGTGATCTGAAAGCAGCAATGGGTAGAGAATCATAATATTCTTGGTTGTTTATCCCAGTGGTTAATTATATTCAGTTATAAAAGCGTGTAGCTTATTCTACTCTGAAGGTACCTGCCTGAAGTTTCCAACTTCTGGTAATATCCTTCTGTCCTAGAATAAAAAGAAGACCCTGAGTAATTTCTCCCTGTGGTAGTACTGGTTTATGATATCTAGCCAGATTTCCATTATCCCTTTGTTGTTATCAAAAAGATAGACCAAATAAAAGCCAAACAGATAGACCTCTTTAATCCTCCTGTTAATGTCATTTGAGAACTGAAGATTACAACATATTTTTATGACACTTTTAATCTTCCTTCTCTTAATTTCTTTTTAAGAAGTGTATCCTCTCAAAATCTGTGTAATGTATCAGCAGTGATCTAATGTTCAGGTACAAGTAAAATGACCACTCCACTCTCAGGCTATATTTCACTGTTTGTATAACCAAATATCGTATCAATTAAGTTTTCTTTCTATGATATCCCTTCTGACTGGAATTGTTCATCCAATACAATACTGAGGTTCCTTCCAGAACTGCTTCTTTCTAGACCATAGTCCCCAATCCTCTACCTCGTGCTCTTTTTTGTCTGAGTTACATCTTTGCAATTTTTGCAATGTCTAACATTGCTAATTGATCCAGGCATTTCATTAATTTTACTCTGCTAGTGCCATCTGGAGAACTGCTAGGCATGAAATTTATGTCTCCTTCTCAGTCTTTGATAGAACTTTTGAATACTAGGTCTGATATCTGGAGAAGCAAGATATGCTGGTTTTGTGTTCAATAGTAGACAAGAGGGTATTGCCTTCTTCTCCCTGAGTGTTACTAGCATATCATGATACTTTTTCTTCAACTGAGGGAAATAAATTGCTCACAATTACTACCTTTTTCTGCTTTGTCATTAACGATTGTTTTACCTGTGTTAATGTGAATATTGTTGCATAAGAAGCAAAGGAAAATACATTAAAATTCAAATTAAAACCAGTAATTTCTATCTTCAGTAAATTCTTGGTCATATTATGCTATGTTGTATAAAATATTTTATTTAGGATTTGCAATTTACACTGACTAAATGTTCATTTTGTCAGTGTTGTTATTTTTAGCCAGAGCTTTTTTAGTTCAATATTTCATATATATCTTCCTGTCTTGTCTTCCAGATTCCTGTCGCTGTAACACAGATAAGTTCAACAAACCACCCAGTGAAAGTGGGACTTTCAGATGCGTTTGTGGTTGTGCACAGGATCCAGCAAATTCCCAGTATGTAGAATTGTAATGGTGCTAATGGTTTGGAGGCTTAGAAATTACTATAAGCTAATTTTATCAAGGATGATTAGCTGCACAACAAATCACTTAGCTAATTTCAGCTTGTTAATTCAAGTGTAATTTTATTTGCTTGATAATTCCCAGTATGGCTTTTTCTGTCATTGTTTCTTTTGAACTGATAAATTAAGTAAATAAAACTAAATGGCCAGTCAAATAATGTCAGATTAAACTGTCAACCAGCACAATTTGGTATTCCATAAGATACTTTATTTGGAATAGGTCTCCTTATTCATAGAGAAGAAGAATCACCCTGTTCAAAAAACCCATCTGTATCTAAAAATATCCAGGCTGGAAGTTCTTGATACTTTATATACATTTTAGTGAGAGGAAAGAAGAGGAAATGTAGTTATTAGATAGCATCTTGGGCTCACATAGTCATGGCAACAGTATTGCAGGTGACATTTGATTTTCCCTGTCTGTCATTATAGTTTATATGGCTTGACTGAAAATGAATAGCAGGACATCAAGTGTGATTTCTTCAATGCTTTGTTTTAACACAGTGTATACAGAACCCTTTGAGTTTGTTTAGCCATTAGAGAATACGTTCATTTTTCGAGTCTGCTGGTTTTATTTACATATTTGGAAAAAAATTACTAAGTTCAGTTTTTAGTGATCCTCTAATAGCAGGGTGTAGATGGAAGCAGCTGTGCTTGAACTAGCCTCCTAGGAGGCACCCTGTGGTGCAGACAAAACTCACAGACTGACCTGATCCAGCCCATCTTTAAGACAGACTGCAGATGAGGCTGACAATGAAGTTAAAAGTGCCATTGCCTCTCAGCTTATCCTATATCTTTATCACATAAACATATAAACAGTCTTTAACATGAGGGAGATTAAATCCTATATGTCTGGTCATCGGGAATATGGAAAATTTCAGTACCATCTGTTACTTGTTATGAGCTCAGAGTAGTGTAAATGAGGTTGGCACGCTCAGATTTCACTTAAGAGGTCAGAAATTTGTAATTGTGATGTGCCTATGGTTGGATGGATTGGTTTTGAGTGTTTAAGAACAAATTAATCTAGGCAATCGAATTCAGTAATGTGAGTGATGTTTGCAAGGGAATGATCTGAATATTTCTGAATCTTCAGCTTGTAAGAGCTCAAAAAATGGATTCAGGTGGAAACTAGGTTGATTGACTTATGCAAATGGTTTATGAGAACAGTCACAGAGAAATTCTATGTAAGAGATGCAAGCAGCGTGCAGATCTTTTGACATTAGGCCTCCATAACCAAACAACACTAAAAAAATCTTTTTTTTAGATTTACATATTTTGTATGGAAAACATATGGTATATGTGAGTCTTTATTCTAGTTTGAATGTTTCTTTCTGTAGCAATATTTTAGACACGCACCTTGTTTCACTGGCACTAAATAATGTTGGTTTTCATGAATGCAGAATTACTTACTAGTCTTCTGGTGTTGGTATTTTTGTAATTTTTTTTCTCACATGACACTTTCTGCCAAGTGAAATGAGAATATAGTGTGGGTAAGGAGTATAAAACATGCCACTGCTATAATTGTTTTGATAGCATTATTCATGTGTTACTGTTTGCAATGCAATGCTTTTCCCCCTAACTACCTCTAGCTTGCACTTCTGTGGATGGTGGTAATTCATGATTACTTTTGCTAGTTTGCAGTTTACACAAGAGCTAATATTAATCATGGGAACCCTCCTTTTACAGTAGATTTTCCTGAAGGCCAGTTGTGTTTTCCACGAAACAGGTTAATATTGATAGGTGTGGGCAATATAATAACACCTTGACAGAACTGGTAAATAATGTTGGTCCATAGAAAGCCAGTATCAAATGCCCTTAAAATATGCACATTCTTGAATTCTCGTTTTTCAGACGTGTCAAATCAACTATGGCTAGTCAATTACTGAAAAAGTGATATGATGGAATTTTTATTTTACTTTATTTGTTAGCTCCTTAAGGCAATGGAAAAATATAAATTGCTGTCTGTACCAAAAGAAGGCAAAGTATAGCTAGCTGCTCTAGGTTATCACTTTTGCAAAGATTTTGCCATCAAAAGAACCCAGTCTCCCTTTATGTTCATGGCTAGTTATTAAAAAAAAAACAACAAAAAACCAAAAAAAACCACCATCACATCCCCCAAACTCTACTGTTTCATGTTCGACCTTTGTCATTTGTATATTTGTTGTTTTTGTATATATTGTGCATTTGAAAAGGAAAGAGACAGTAAGTGCAACATAAGCCAATTTGAACAAAAATATCCTCTCAGTTTTCAAAGATGCTGAATGTCTTTGGTGCAGTCTGTATGCTCAGCATACCAAAATTTCAGTATAACAGTCCTAGTTTTATTGAAGTACTTTCAGAAGATTTAGAACTATTTATCAGACTTTTTTTCAGAGGTACTGTCCAAAACATTGGTAATAACTTTTTTAATTCTTCTGAAAGGTGGGTTCAAAAGCCAGACAAACCCCTTTCGTTCTAAGGAGAGGTAACCTTGCTTTTTGATCAGCCATTTCATTTCAAAAGTGCATTTTAATGAGTGCTGAAAAGTATCCTCTTGAAGAGTCAAGACCAAAAAGGAAGGATTTTCTGAACTTTTTAAAATGGAGGACCTTGAGCATTTTATACCTATTTTTGTTAATATAGTCCTATATAAAGGCTTTGCAGTAATACCCCTTTCATCTGCCCCTAGAAGAATACAGGCACCTACACTTTTGTACTTTATCTTTTAAAAGTCAGAACATAGAGACAGGAGGTTTTTGGCAGGTGATTTTCTTCCTCTTTTCTTTTTGATACTTTTCCTTGATCTGCTACTACTTCTTGCATATAGACAATGTCTTTACTTTCAAGCCTATATGTGGTACTACTATATTGTTGCAGATTGGCCATTATTTTATCTTTTAGATCTAGATCTAGATCTAGATTTGCCTGTATATATTCTAGAGGTGTTTTGGAGTGAATGGTAATGTGTGAAGGGAAGTAAATTTCTGTTTGACAGCAAGGTTAACCTGAAAAGCCCTAAATTCTGAAATTTAAATGACAGCAAAAATGGCAAAGTAAGTATATTAATTAATTTCAGAGGAAAAATTTCTTATTTTTCCAGGTAATTCAGTTGAAATCAGCCAGGCTCTGGACCTCTACTTCTGATTTGTAAGATAAGTTAGAGGGACCACCTTGATTTCTTCTTCAGACAGGTTGAACACTTGTACACTATTTTTCCTTTTGTAACAAAGACACCAAGAATATTTCTTGGATGTTTTCCAGTTAGACAACACATGATTGATGATGAAAAAGCTGGGAGATAGCTTTATGTGTTCCTCCAGCAAGTCTTCTCTCTATTTTTCAACATCTTCACTGCTTCAGGAGCCTTGTCCCTTTCCCATTGCAACCGCCTTCTCTTCCCTGTTCCCTTTTATTTCTTGTTTATTTCTCATCCATCACTGCCATTCTGTTCTTGGTCCTTCTTTCAGTTGCCTGTGGAGTTCTTTTCTCTCTCTTCTGCAGACTCCCAAGATCTCTCTCTAATTTCATGACCATCTTTCCCCCCTTCCATTTTTCTTTTTCTTCAGGGTTACTACGTTTCTGTCCTTTGTTTCAGTGCTCTCTCCCCTATTTTCTTTCAATTAGCTTTTAGTTGGGCAAGAAGAAGAAATAAAAAAGCATTTGCTGCAACCCACTTTTGTATTTTAGAAATAAAAAAACCCACCAGTGAGCCTTCCCAGATTGTGCTTTGTTTTCCACAAAACCGTGAAACACACTGGTAAAATGAGTGCCCGATGCAGAGGATCTACACAGTCTCGCACTTAGAGATAATGGCTAGTAGTTTTTTCTCCACAGTGAGACATACTTCTCTGTGATCTTGGCCTATACCGTATTGGATACAGCTTTTTTAGGAAATCCATACCTTGACAACTCAACATTTAATCACACTGAAATTATTCGACAACACTGTGTACAGAAACAAAATTGTAGCTATGTGTTATTAATATTCCAGTTTTGGTGCAATTAGTGTCACTCAATGTGTAGTGTACCTCAAGCATGCAATTAAGTGACAACTCTGCATATTATAACTATTTGCTGAAGATGTCTCTCCAGTTTGTTTACAGCAGTGAAGCCTCTGAAAGAACCTTGGCATTACCTTCCTGTAGGGTAAAAGATGACTAGCTTATGTTTTGATGTCTATTGTATAAACTTGTAGCACCACTTGGGAAATCGCAGTCTAATTTGCTGCTGACTTACTGGCAAAGTTGTCATTTATCCCTGTGTGAAGTGGGCCTCATAGTTATTGGTCTAAATTCCCAGTGTTTATTCATCCTTTCCACTAGAGTAACTAACCCCACAGAGCACCAACTCCTCCAGCCCTGCGTGCTTGTCTGCTGGTACAAAAGAGCTGCTGGATTCCTTGCACTAGGTGTGCGATTTAGGAGCGGTGGAGGAAAGAGGTGGACATGCTGCTGACCATCGGCAACATGATAGTGATCAAAGTTTAAAATATTCTCATAAGCCACCACAGACCAGTCTCAGAGTGAGGCAGTTTGGTGCATAGTGGGTTAAGGAAGTCATCATGGCTGGGCTTCGCGAATGAAGATTTGGGAAGGCTCTATCCACATTTGCTACAGGCACGCTGGTGGCTTATGAGGCCAATACGTGACAGACAAATCCGATTGCAAAAGGCACAGCAGAAAGACTCCTTAGATGGTGTATTCTGCAAGACACGGTTCTTTCTGCGTTGCCTTTTTTCCTCGAGGGTGATCCTGCGTGTGTTCTCGAAGGAGACAGCTGCGTTATAGATGGTGTGTCTCCAGGCCTCCCGATTGGAGGCCAGAGTAGACCAGTTATGGTGATCAATATGACCAAGGCTGAGATGTTGTTTCAGGGAGTCCTTGTATCTTTTCTTCGGGGCTCCTCTCATGCGGCAGCCAGTGACAAGTTCACCGTAAAGCAAGATCTTAGGGAAGCGGA